CTATCGTAATTTCATTTAAACTAACTTAGGTTTTCAATTACGGAGCATTTGTGACAATATTTAGCGACAAAGAGCACCATGTCAAAATACGGCTTTCAAATCCTACTATTTTCTACGCTGAATTTCTTAAAAGTGGGACCTAATTACATACAGTGACTAGTATAATTGGAAAAAGGACACTTTGAAGTACTAAAAACCGTAATAAAACTCGTCTGCAAACGCGATTTGAACAATTGAGAGCGTTTGAAATTTGATACTCTTTATGGCCTTTTGTTTACATTAAAATATTGCTGAGGTCAGACGTCTGAGTTCGTGTCACTGCTAAAAATGCGCTAGCACTGTAGTTCAGCCAAATAATCTTTCCCTCAAATAAGTGTATAGCAATATAGTACTAATCCATATTTTTTTGTTTATGTCCACCGTAAATGGTTCCAAGGGATTTAAAATAATAGGCATGTTAAAATCAACAACTTGACCAAATTAATATGCTACTCGGGGAAAAGCCCGTATGCAGCGCGAATTCTATATGTGGCACATGCTATATTTAGTGTGATTTAGAGTTTGCGTTGCAGCATACTAAACTATTGCTTAGTTTGAAAAGTCTATAAATATGCGAAATTTAGTTCTGGAACCTTTCTGCGAAGTTGATCTTTGAATTATATTGCTGTAAAATTTGAGAGTTAGTATGGATAATCTGTGTTCTTTTAATGCTATCGATTCAACTGTATGCGGAGGGTGTCGGGGTGAATCGAACATTCAAAACCATCTTTCAAGTTGCCGTTTGTCGAAATCTGGTTTTAGCGAGCGCGAGCTGATTTTGAGAAGAGCGGAATTTTTACATGAAATATCAAGGGAAGAAATACGCTCTATGACAGTATGCCCAAACCACCGGTACAACTTGGGCCGATACTGGAGACCTCGTCTAATATGCAAACATCCTTCTCACACTGCGCCTGCACGTCGCTGCAAAGGAAAAGATGTCATTAACCTGGAAGTTCACGGGATGTATTCCAAATTTATGGAGTACTTGTGCAAGTTGGTTCTCGTAAGTGATAAATATAGTCCAAATTAGAGATATATAATCGCATTGTTAATTTGTTATAGGCAATATAATTAGAGTTGCACCGCGAATAGGCCAGTGCGGCATTCGCATGGTAACATTGGAAATTAGAGGTATACTGTAGTATCACAGCGACATGCTGATAATTAGCTTTTTACTAGCCCGAGTAAAAAGTTGTACCGGTGGTTTGGGCATACTGGTCATATAGCGTATTTCTTCGCTTGATATTTCATGTAAAAATTCCGCTCTTCTCAAAATCAGCTCGCGCTCGCTAAAACCAGATTTCGACAGACGGCAACTTGAAAGATGGTTTTGAATGTTCGATTCACCCCGACACCCTCCGCATACAGTAGAATCGATAGCATTAAAAGAACACAGATTATCCATACTAACTCTCAAATTTTACAGCAATATGATTCAAAGATCAACTTCGCAGAAAGGTTCCGGAACTAAACTTCGCACATATATAGACTTTTCAAACCAAGCAATAGTTTAGTATGCTGCAACGCAAACTCTAAATCACACTAAATATAGCACGTGCCACATATAGAATTCGCGCTGCATGCTGGCTTTTCCCCGAGTAGCATATTAATTTGGTCAAGTTGTTTATTTTAACATGCCTATTATTTTAAATCCCTTGGAACCATTTACGGCGGACATAAACAAAGAAATATAGATTAGTACTATATTGCTATAACTTATTTGAGGGAAAGGTTATTTGGCAGAACTATACAGCGCATTTTTAGCAGTGACATGAACTCAGACGTCTGATCTCAGCAATATTCTAATGTAAACAAAAGGCCATAAAGAGTATCAAATTTCAAACGCTCTCAATTGTTCAAATCGCGTTTGCAGACGAGTTTTATTACGGTTTTTATTACTTCAAAGTGTCCTTTTTCCAATTATACTAGTCACTGTATGTAATTAGGTCCCACTTTTAAGAAATTCAGCGTAGAAAATAGTAGGATTTGAAAGCCGTATTTTGACATGGCGTTCTTTGTCGCTAAATATTCTCACAAATGCTCCGTAATTGAAAACCTATGTTAGTTTAGATGAAATTACGATAGTTTTCCGGTGCTGGGTGTGAATATCAGAAATTTTGAACAAAATCTTTTGAAATTATGTTTATTTAAATTCAGCCCATTTTTTCGTTTAATTAGCCGGCGAATTTCTCCCGCGACGGCGCGAGACCAAAAAATCGCTAAAACTTTGAAACTAAATATATTTTCAAAATTCCACATAGCATTTGTTTGTTGTTAAAGTAAATGTAGTTCACGGTAAAAGTTTCGAAGAAATTTATTTTTCGAGCCCCAAGTCAGTGAGCGGTTTTTAGAGACACACGCTCTTAAACTCTGAGGACAAGGTTCTTCATTCTGAGGACAAGGTTCTTCGCCCTGCGGAGAAGATTCTTCACTCTGAGGACAAGGATCCTCACACTGTGGACAAGGTTCCACACTTTGAGGACAAGTTTATTTAATCTCTGAGGACAAGGTCCTTCACTCCGAGAACAAGGTTCTTCACTCAGAAGACAAGGTTCTTCACGCTGAGGACAAGGTTCCTCACACTGTGGACAAGGTTCCTCACTTTGAGGACAAGACACTTTATTCTGAGGACAAGATTCTTCACTCTGAGGACAAGGATCCTCACACTGTGGACAAGGTTCCACACTTTGAGGACAAGTTTATTTAATCTCTGAGGACAAGGTCCTTCAAGGTTCCACACATAGAGGACAATGTTATTTAAACTCTGAGGACAAGGTCTTTCCACTCTGAGAACAAGGTTCTTCACTTTGAAGACAAGGTTCTTCACGCTGAGGACAAGGTTCCTCACACTGTGGACAAGGTTCTTCACTTTGAAGACAAGGTTCTTCACGCTGAGGACAAGGTTCCTCACACTGTGGACAAGGTTCCTCACTTTGAGGACAAGGTTCTTCACTCTGAGGACAAGGTTCTTCACTCTGCCGACAAGGTTCCTCACTCTGAGGACAAGTCTGAGGACAAGACACTTTACTCTGAGAACAAGGTTCTTCACTCTGAAGACAAGGTTCTTCACGCTGAGGACAAGGTTCCTCACCCTGTGGACAAGGTTCCTCACTTTGAGGACAAGGTTCTTCACGCTGAGGACAAGGTTCTTCACCCTGTGGACAAGGTTCCTCACTTTGAGGACAAGGTTCTTCACTCTGAGGACAAGGTTCTTCACTCTGAGGACAAGGTTCTCTCACTCTGCACAAGGTTCACTCTGAGGACAAGGTTCTTCACTCTGAGGACAAGGTTCTTCACGCTGAGGACAAGGTTCTTCACCTTGAGGACAAGGTTCTTCACTTTGAGGACAAGGTTCTTCACTCTGAGGACAAGGTTCTTCATTGAGGACAAGGTTCTTCACTCTGAGGACAAGGTTCTTCACGCTGAAAACAAGGTTTTTCACCCTGAGGACAATGTTCCTCACATCTGAGGACAATGCTATCTCACTCTGAGGACAGGGTGCCTCAATTTGAGGACAAGTTTATTCAGTGTGAGGACAAGGTTCTTTACTCTGAGAACAAGGCTCTTCACTCTGAGGACAAGGTTCTTAAAACTGAGGACAAGGTTTTCACTCTGAGGACAAGGTTCTTCACTCTGAGAACAAGGTTCTTCACTCTGAAGACAAGGTTCTTCACGCTGAGGACAAGAGAAGATTCCTCAAACTGAAGACGAGGTTCCTCACTCTGAGGACAAGCTATCTCACTCTGAGGACAGGGTGCCTCAATTTGAGGAAGAACAAGGTTCTTCACTCTGAAGACAAGGTTCTTCACGCTGAGGACAAGGTTCCTCACACTGTGGACAAGGTTCCTCACTTTGAGGACAAGGTTCTTCACTCTGAGGACAAGGTTCTCTGAGGACAAGGTTCTTCATTGAGACAAGGTTCTTCATGAGGACAAGGTTCTTCACTCTGAGGACAAGGTTCTTCACGCTGAGGACAAGGTTTTTCACCCTGAGGACAATGTTCCTCACATTGAGGACAAGGTTCTTCACTCTGAGGACAAGGTTCTTCATTATGAGGACAAGGTTCTTCATGCTGATGACAAGGTTCTTCACCTTGAGGACAAGGTTCTTCACCCTGAAGACAAGGTTCTTAAAACTGAAGACAAGGTTATTCACTCTGAGGACAAGGTTCTTCACTCTGAGAAAAAGGTTCTTCAATCTGAGGAGAAGATTCCTCAAACTGAAAACGAGGTTCCTCACACTGAGGACAAGCTATCTCACTCTGAGGACAGGGTGCCTCAATTTGAGGACAAGGTTATTCATTCTGAGGACAAGGTTCTTCACTCTGAGGACAAGGTTCTTCACTCTGAGGACAAGGTTCTTCACCTGTAGGACAAGGTTCTTCACTCTGAGGACAAGGTTCTTCACTCTGAGGACAAGGTTCCTCACTCTGAGGACAAGGTTCCTCACTCTGAGGACAAGGTTCTTCACTTTGAGGACAAGGTTCTTCACTCTGCAGCACAAGGTTCCTCTCTGACAAGGTTCTTCACTTTGAGGACAAGGTTCTTCACTCTGCGCACAAGGTTCCTCACTCTGAGGACAAGGTTCTTCACTATGAGGACAAGGTTCTTCACTCTGAGGACAAGGTTCCTCACACTGTGGACAAGATTCTGAGGACTGGGTGCTGGGTTCTTCACTCTGAGGACAAAGTTCTTCACCCTGAGGTAAAAGGTTCCGTTGAGCACAAGGTTATTTACCTAACTGAGGTAAGGTTCCGCACTCTGCGGACAAGGTTCCTCACTCTGAGGACAAGGTACTTCACTATGAGGACAAGGTTCTTACCTGAGACTTCACCCTGAGGACAATGATTCTTACACTGAGGACAAGGTCCTCCACTCTGAGGACAAGGTTCTTCACTATGAGGACAAGGTTCTTCACTCTGGGGACAAGGTTCTTCACGCTGAGGACAAGGTTCTTCACCCTGAGGAGAAGGTTCTTAACAATGAGGACAAGGTTATTCACTCTGAGGACAAGGTTCTTCACTCTGAGGACAAAGTTTCCTCACTATGAGGACAAGGTTCCTCACTCTGAGAACAAGGTTCCTCACACTGTGGACAAGGTTCCTCACTTTGAGGACAAGGTTATTTAAACTCTGAGGACAAGGTCCTTCACTCTGAAGACAAGGTTTTTTACTCTGAGGACAAGGTTCCTCACACTGCGGGCAAGGTTCCTCACTTTGAAGACAAGGTTATTTAAACTCTGACGAGAAGGTCCTTCACTCTGAGGACAAGCTTCTTCACTCTGAGGACAAGGTTCTTCATGCTGAGGACAAGGTTCCTCACACTGTGGACAAGGTTCTTCACTATGAAAACAAGGTCTTCACTCTGAAGACAAGGTTCTTCACTCCGAGGACAAGGTTCCTCACACTGAGGACAAGGTTCTTCACTCTGAGGACAAGGTTCCTACTCTGACGACAAGGTTCTTCACTCTGAGGACAAGGTTCTTCACTCTGAGGACAAGGTTCTTCACTCTGAGGACAAGGTTCCTCACTCTGGGACAAGGTTCCTCACTTTGAGGACAAGGTTCTTCACTATGAGGACAAGGTTCTTCACTCTGAGGACAAGGTTCCTCACTCTGTGGACAAGATTCTGCACTCTGAGCACAAGGTTCCTCACTCTGAGGACAAGGTTCTTCACAATGAGGACAAGGTTCTTCAATCTGAGGACAAGGTTCCTCACACTGTGGACAAGATTCCTAACTTTGAGGACTGGGTTCTTCACTCTGAGGACAAAGTTCTTCACCCTGAGGTAAAAGGTTCCGCACTCTGCGGACAAGGTTCCTCACTCTGAGGACAAGGTACTTCACTAT